AAAAAAATAATTTTTAACGATACAATAGTCTTCGTTAGGCTTAACATCGACGAAAATTCAACGCGAAGCGACACGCAACGGAGAGAAATTTCAACATGGGATAAATTAATATATTTTTTCGTACATGATTCGTTATCCGAAAAATAAGTTATCCGAACCACCCCAGTCCCCAATTGATTCGGATAAACGACGCTCTACTGTATATCAATTTCCTATTTTAAGGAAGTATGCAGCAAAAATTCGATCGTTATTTTCTACAACTTACGTATGTGAACAGTTCTTTCCGCAATGAAGTTAGTAAAAAATAAAACAAGCTATTGTTTAACAGACTCTTATCAAAACTGATGTAAAACTTAATATGTTAATTTATAATCATATAGCCTATGAATAAATAAATGTGATTAGCCTTGTTTTTTTCTTTTTTTTATGCGACCCGCGTCAGTTCAAAAGTTTTAAATGTTGCCCGTCCTTACATAGAAAAGGTTGCCTGTCCCTGATTTACAGTATTTTATAAAACTAATTTTTACCCCCAAAATTAAGTCTTTTGCTATTACTAATATAAAAGCCATTCCTGTGTGTGTGTGCGCGTGCGTGCGTGCGTGCGTGTGTGAGTGCGAATGTGAATTCCTTACAACTGCTGCAATTTTGTTCAATCCAGATGAAATTTTGGTTATATTCTGACGGAAAGTATAGGCTACTTATTTTGTGGAAATATTAGCTATAGAATAAACGTTTTATCGATTCGGGATCGATGATCGCACTTATGTTGCAGTGACGTCAGTAGCCACGTGACGTTCATAGTTGACGAGGAATTTCCCTTAAGCTGCATTTTTAAATTAAATATTTGGCAAATGGCGTATTTTAAACTTCTTTAAATTAAAATTAAAAATGATAGTCGCAACGTGTCGCTTTTATAATACATTAAAAATAAAAATAAAAAAAATCTTACCGCATGAAGAGGAAAATTTCCCTTAAGTTGCATTTTTAATTAAATAGTAAACCTCCACTAATTCAGACGCTGCCAACTCAGACTTTGCATATTTTGGACAAATTTTTTTGTTTTTGAAAAATTGTGTAGTAATTTAAAAATTCTTGACAATAAAAACAATTACGAATAACAAATAAGTATAATTATAATTTTGTTATAAGTACTCATTATTTACAGGTTTTTATTTAAAAATATATTTCTAATTAAAGTGTTTGATATTTTGAAGTATTTGTGATAACTTGCATTATATTACCTTATTCAGTAAGTTAGTAAAGACTGAACTGCTGTATTATGACTATATTATACTGTCATAAAATTTTTTGAGTTCATTTCTTATAAAAATAAAATCAACAGTATAGTCTACTAAAGCTCAACAAATATTCTGTACAGCTGACTGTAATAAATCACTATACTGTGTATAAACCTGTTTGTTTTCTACATCATTGGAGACTATCTCAGACTATTACAGCCGATTGCAGAGACAGAGTTCACATTAAATGATGTTTATCAACAGAACAGCCTATAGACGTTGGCTGGCTGAACCGCGTTTTAAAATGCATTGCAAAGACGACGATCATCTATTTCTGACTGTTCTCTAAACGAACTTTGGCAAAGTATTGGCTCTTACTTACTTCGCTATTACTCCCCTGTTTTAGGAGTTGTTCGGCCAATTGGGTTATTTGTTTGTGTTGCTAGCTATATTCCGAAAGCTTGCAGAAATAAAATCTTAAGGCCGTCAAAACCATTGTTTGGCAATTAATGACAGTCCTTTTCCATTTTGATATTTAATTTCGTCACCAATATTGTTTAAAATATGAACAAATCCATATTTAGAAAATTTATACTGAATTAGAAATTCGTCTTCAGAATAGATTTTTAAGGATTTATTTTGACATCTTATTACTGTCAAAATGAATAATTTTAAATATTTTATTATTAATATTACATTTTTTTTAATATCTATAAACAGATTTCTGTAATTATTAAAATTGTTTCGTTTGTTTAACAGTACAATGACTCTGAAATGCATTAATGTTTTATAACCGACACGATACTCAAATTGTAAATAAATGCATCTGATTTAAATTAATTGAAGTTTTAAGTCTTCACCCATTTGAATATCGAAATTGGAACATTAAAATATTTAATTTTATTGTTTTTGCTCCAAGCAATTAATTAATTAATGAATAATTTTGTCAATGCGTACCGTTTACAACATCAAATGAATGATATCTGTTTTTATCTAAACTTTTCCACCAACAAAGCTACCACTCGAATTGAAAAGCCCTGTAAACCTGCTGTCAAGCGAGTCTAGAAAATAGGTCAAGTAACTTGTTTCTAATTGCTGTCTACATTGTGGCAAGTCTCTGCAATGAAAATTTTTTTATCTGTAAACTGCCGTCGGTCTCTAAACGTCTCTACAATTGGCTGTTAAAGTTTGACAACCTTCACTCCTAAGGGTACATTTGTCCACATATGTCCATCTGTAACTTGAGTGTGGCACACCTACACCTACACACAAGATTTGTATACATAATTTTTTCATTAAAATTATTTTTTGATTATATTGTGATTAAATTTTGTGAGAGATTAACATCTAGGATAAAATTATTTGAAGTAAAGCAGAGAATAGTCTATAGTAATTTTAATTTTTTTATATTATATTTCAAACATTCCTATTGTCAATTAATTTATTTTATAGCTTTTTAGTATAATCCAAACAAAAATTTTCTAATAAATTATTATATAAAAAATTTTTTACAGGAAAAGTTTTTTTCCAGATGAAAATACTCCAAATCTAATTTTTGGTGATACATTATATTCAGAACTTCCTATTGTCCACATTCAAGTAACAAAAAATAATACCATCATGACATTATCAGATTATAAAGGTGCGAAGAAATTTAATTCAAATATAATAATTTGAATCAAATTTATTGATTTTTTTTTTATTCTAAACCTTTTAAAAAATTTTTCATTACTATTATTTTTAATTTATAATGAAGTAACTTTAAGAAACTAAAAGAATATAAAATATTTATTTATTCTCTTTCTGTATTGACTTAAAATAATTAAAAATGTTATTAATAATAATATGAATTATATAATTAATGAGATTTATTACATATTTAATTAACATATTCATTCTGATGTGATCTGTTTAGTGGATCATACAATGGCTACTTTATTATGTATACTGTCCACTAGATGTGACCATTGTAAGCAGATTTTTTTATATTGACAGGCTGACATTGAAAGTAGCTTCACTATTTATTAATATTTACATATGATGATTGAGCATTTTTATGATTAGTATTAATGCTTTTAAAATAATTTGATATAAATACATTTTTATATTAATTGTGATTACAATATTAATAAATTATTATTATTAAGCCACACTTTTTACAATTGGAATTAAGTAAATAAATGCATTAGTGTTCTAATTACACATTTAAAGAACATGTAAATGTTTCTTAGTATATTAATAGAATAATTACAACCTAAGATCATGTTAATATCAAAATTTTTATCAGACATTCTTGTTTTTAGAAGTGACAAATTTATAAAGATTAAATACTGTGACATTCTAAATATTTTAATGTATCACATAATAATCTACAATTATTCAAACACAATTGAATTAGTAAAGATTTCATTTTAAAATACAGTCGACCCCCCTGTAACGTGGGTTCCTATAACGTAGCGAAAAAATTGCGGCAGTATTTGTATAAAGGGTCTCGTAAAATGTTGTAGCCGACTCGTGTTACGACAAGATTGGTCGAATCTGGACCAATAGTGGATGAGCAGCCGAACTACTTTCTGCTGTACAGCGCCACGCTATGGAAAGTTAAAGCGGGTAAATTGAGTTTGCTATCGTCTGTACAGTATTATATATAAATTACCTATAAATTAGGTACTATATATAATCATATATTAACTTAATTTATTGCAACTTTATTATAATTATATATATACTTTCTGCCGTCCAGCGCCACGCTACAGAGAGTTTAGGCGAGTAAGTTGAGTTTACTATTGTCTGTACAGTATGTAAATTAGGTACCATAAGTCTAATTCAGTACTATAATTTTATACATTTCTTGTGAAAGAAACATTTCTTATTCAACGGCCATAAAAATTATTTATATTAATGATGTCTCCAAAGTTCAACGACGTTTTCGCAGAAAAATAACTTATCAGAAATCGCGGCTGCCATTTGGTGCGCTGCTCCGCGACAAAAACAAGCGTAAGCAACGGCATAGTCAAACGGTGCACACTTGGTAAGTAATCCTACAATTTTTTGTTTATAGCANCACAACAGACCAGACATCACACTCATTGACAAACACAATAAAATCACATACATTATAGACATATCCATTCCAAACACTCACAACGTACAAAACACATGAAGTGAAAAAATCAGCAAGTACACGGAACTTGCACAGGAAATAAGGCATCTGTGGAGGATGGATGGATAGGGGTGCTTATTGAACTTGTCGTTCTCTCCTCTACAGGTATCATACCACAAACGCTACATAAAAGCCTGGGAACATTAAAATTGAATAGAAACACATACATCACACTACAGAAGGCCTCTATATTGAATACATGTCATATTGTTAGGAAATTCCTGAATACATACACACAATGACACGCTTATTTAATTTTTGTCCTTTTTTTTTTTTTTTTTGAAGTTACTATGCCTTGACTCTGGTCTGGCATAGTACACAGCCATCGGTGTCCACCTAGTGTAACTCACAAAACTCAACATAATTGAGTTTTGTGGTTTATGGCATTACGAAATTCTATTAATAGTATCATATCATACGTTATTGAGAGGAATAACATTTTGGTGTGCCGTGTTGAGTCATGTCTAGTCATAGGTGTGCCGCGAGTAGAAAAAGGTTGCGGAACACTGGTCTCTATTGCTAGCAGAAAAAGTATGATGTACAGGGTCAAGACACTACTAATTTGAGGTGACAAGCATATATTTTAAATTAAAT